CCTAGAATATTCCCGTCAATTCAGATTTCACAAGAGAAACATAAATTTATGCCCCAAAAAGTAAACTACTCTATACAATTATCAAAAATGTACTTCAAAAGGAGGAAGATATTAAGGTGCAGACAAAGTACCTCAAATAGGTACAGCTTCAAACTCAGACAAGGTGGGTGGCTGAACATGTAAGAATCTTGATGAAACAAACTCTCCAGAGGAGAAATACGGGTAAATAATTTCATTGCCAAACCATTGCTTCAGAAGATTTAAAGAGGTTCAGAGGTGCTCCCAAAGGACCCAAATAAAACCCCCAAGAGCTGAACCAACGCTCCCCCCCCCCCCCCAAAAAAAAAAAAAAAAACACAAAACATTTCCCGCAAATACAACAGCAAAGTTAAGTGAGGAGGACACGCACCAAAATTAAAAGTTGATATCTGAAATGTTTTAGCCGCAACTACTCATAGACAAAAAAAGGAAATGCAAAGTGAAAATAAAATTCCAGAATAGTGGGGGTTTGAACTCCCCTACTTCAGGCAATATATTCTTTGACAGAGAAATCTTCGTAGTTGCATTCAAGTAAAAACTAGTTAAATACTTCAGCAGGCAGTATAAGTCACCCTACCTTGAATAAACGAGCATTAAAATGTTTTAATTTGCTAGCTGAGTTATACCAATGTAAAATATCACTGAATGTAACCTACCTGGTAACTAAAAGCAGCTATCAAATATTAAAAGACGACACATATAAAAACCTCCAGAATAAACCCAATCTGGGTAATTTCCAAAACACTCTCCTTCAAACCAAACTAAGCACCTTAAGTTCCTCAAATAGACTGGGTGAGCCAGAAGAATGCTGCCAGAAAAGTCAAGAGACATAATTCCGAAATACCTCTGAAAACTGATGAATCTGTTGAATTAATTCCCCATTAGTGGGAAATTTTAGACTTCAATAAGCTCAAGAAATTGCTGCCAGTATATAAAAGAGCAACTGTGTAAGGTCAAAGAAACACAATTGAAAAGGCACTTTTAACCAGGTTTATCAAGAATCCCGTTCCACCTGTGTCATGATCAAGAACAGCACCACACTGCTCCAAGAAAACACCTACTGAATAGACCCTTGATTCTCTAAGAAAAAAAGTCCTCCCTTTTTTCCTGTTGTGAAGGATTCCTAAACACAAATGCTGGAGTTTCCTTTTTTTTTTGGGCTCCTGTTTTTCTTGTTCAATCTCATCTCATTTACTGATGCGAGGACCAACACAAAAACCTGTCCTGCACCAGGCTATTAACACTATCATTCCAGAAAGGAAATTAATTTGTACAGTTCTTATCTTTTATCTTGAGTCAGGGCAATGGTACGGAACAGTCACTATGTAAGACGTAAAGCTGATGAAAAACTTCAACTGTGTTTTGTGACCTGTTCAAATTAATTTCCATTTGCAGAATTGTACTGCGCAACTAGCAGCAGCCCATGCGAGGATCCAGGGTGCTGGATAATCCCAACCCTCTTTACAGGAGCAAACCCATAGAAACGATCAACGGCAACACTGTCAGTCCACCTGAAAACCTGCTGTATATTCAGCGTGGTCCTCCTTTTCACAGTGAAGTGGCAGAGCTCATAAGGAATCACTGTCATCTCCCACATTCAGTGCCCACTCTCTCCTCAGATGGTAAAAGCTTTGTGATCTTTGACCAAGGAAAGAGCCTGACAGAAAGCCTGCAAAGTCAATCAGACTGAACATCTCAGCAAAAAATTCTTCACTTCATTAATTTAAAGGTGCAAAGTCATAACTTTACTGGTCAAAATTATTGACTAAGTATCTCTTGCGACATTTGTAAATCCCCTGGCAGAGTTCAGTCCTTACCTGTTCTTCTCTTGACCAATTTCTCTAAAAGCTATCAGATCCCTCAATACATCCACATAAGCTCAAGTAAAGAAAATACAGTGGAAAATTTCCACTAACTCAGGCAACATATGGACCACTAGCAATACGGATCCACTAACAACAGCCTTACATGATGGGGGGGCAGGAGTATGGGGGGTGTGCGAAGAAAAGAGGCAACTAGTATTCAGCTAACTTGGTTGTCAGAGTCAGAAGGGATGAAAATCTTGGCAGACAATACCTTGAGGTTAAAACAAAGTGTTACACTCCAAAAACCTATTAATGAATATGTCCCAGTTTCTACATGCAACAAGATACTGCATGATTTTGTGCATCTGGTTATTTTGGTCAGCCCAATAATAATCCAATTACTGTACTGTGTTATGCAAGATTTAAGCACCACTAAATTTTCTGATCATACTGCTAGAGGTCATGCCTACTTTCTTATCACAAATGTATTTTCAGGGCAAAGTGCTACAAGAACAAAAAGTTATTCTTAGATAAAGTTATGAGAATATCATTCTAGAAGCCCTTAAACAACTTCTGGCATCATGAACGCTGGCTGTCATGACAATCAGTCTGAGCACTTTTGCCAGTTTCTCAGATAGAGGCTTTATTATTTTATTTTATTTTATCCTCAAATGCATTCTGCTACCAAAGTAGAACAAATGTGATTTACTTTTTATTAAAATAATTTATAGAATTACTAAATGAATATTTAACAAAACCAATTTTTATTTCCAGATCTATTTGCCTGAATGTACTGAATGCCAGTATTTTCTTTAAGAAATATACACTACTGAAAAGATTATACAGTTCAAGCAGTACAGGTATATGCGGATTACAGACTGAATTTTGTCCTTGAATCTAATGCTATAGTTTTACCATGCAGTTTTTCCTTCAGCAAAAGAACATGAAGGGTAAAGTCTTAACCCCATTAAAAGTCAAGGCAAAGCTTCCATGGACTGTAATGAGACTGGGATTTCACCCAAGGTGTTAAACTGTGGTTTGGGAAAGCGAATAAAAATACATCCATTATTGTAACAAGTACTTACCTGCTAGCCAGACTGAGCAATTCATGTCTATCGGCTACTGCGGATTTCTTTTCCAGTTCCCACAACATCACATTGATCAGGTATGAATTTTTAATTACAATGGGCACTTCTTCAAACATGTTTTCATAAGCAATATTTGCTTTTTTCAAGCTGTGAAAAAAAGTTTAAAAAAAATAGTTATTAATATAACCAGTAACTCTCTTGTTCATTTTGTTGAATTGTTGCTCCGACAACAATTTTGTAAAAACTCTTGATTTTCATAGTTCTACAATCAAATAAGAGTCAAGTTTTGGTAAGAGAGCATTTGCATGGCAAAACCTCAGGTTTACAAAGACCAGGAAAAGCTGCTCTAGGAAAAACTCTCAGAAGTCAAGCAGCCGCTTTGCTTGCTAATACATTACTTACATGAAAAAGCCTCCAGCAAAAGACTGTACTGACAGGATTAACTCTGCCCCTTCCAAAATATTTTACTGATTTCCCTGCCATTAGGGTTTCTTAAATAGAAGCGAACAGATAGTTACCACATGACACTGAAATACCCTTAAAATCTTAACTATTACAATGAAAAACAATCACCCCAATAGCTGAATAATTAAGATTTGACTGACCAAAAATTAGATTGACAAAACAGTGTGTTTTGGAATAATTATATTCCATGGTGGATATTAAAATATAAACTTCCAGTGTATTTTTTATTTTTACAATATACAAATAAAAACTATTGTTATTGCTTTATTATAAAAGTAGACAGTAATACCTTTCATAAAATCTGGAAATAAAGGCATGACCTGTAAGTTTCTAAGGAAATATATCCTTAACTTCTTTGTATGCATACTGTTTTGGAAGAAAAACTTTTGCTTTTTGCCTTTCGCCCTCCCCCCCCCCTTTTCTTTTTTTTGACTACGCACAGATTCATTTGTCCATCATGGAAAAGTTATGTTTAGACACCAAGCAATGAACTTATTCCATTTTTCCTCAATGAAGAAAGTTTAACAAGTGCTTGTGCTTTTGCCATTGAACACTGAGCTGTTTGAGGAAAAAGATGACAGTGAAGGCCTACATCTATTACAAGTGGCTAATCTTTTGAAACAGAGTAATTATCCTACTTTACTCCACAAGATCGTGTGGAATAAATACATAAAACAGCTATTCCAGAATACCTGTTCAATTTTCCTTCTGGAAAAAAAAGAGCTTAAAGACAGACCAGCTATTTCCCCTTCTCCGTTTCTTTTTATATATTTTTGACTCTGTTCCCGGATACAGCTATCTTCACCACGGTCCTTACAGCCAGTCTGCTGACCACCTCCAAAACCAGTTCATGTTCCACCACTTCAGCCCTTATTTAGACGCCCAAAGACAGACTTTCATGCCTTCTCAGCCCACTGTATCCATGCACATCTATTGCTACCCATAGATATCCAGTTTCCCCAGCACTCACAAGAGATTTTAAAATACAGTCTTTCATCATCCCATGTACCCTTCTGCCTCCCAAATAATCCAGCAAAACCTATATGAAAACATTCTTTTAAGTTACTTACGCTTCTGGAGAGAAGTCTTTTTCTTTGCAAACTTCCATCAGTTTGGGAGTCAGCCTATATGCCTTGAGTGACAAAGACCCTTGCGCAGTTTTAATGGGATCTACAATTAAAAATGGAGGAAGCGTATTGTTACTAACTCCAGATTGCCACCTTTTTTAAAAAAAAAATAAAAATCTGAATGACATAAACAGGAGGAAAATAACTAAGCAGCCCTATTAAAAAAAATTAAGACAACCAACACAGAAAAGACACTATAGTGGAAGTAAACCTATTATACTGAAATGTAAAATACATCCAACTAGGTACAGTGAAACTAATTAATAAAATTAACTTGGAGAACATGGGGGGATCTAGACCCATTCTACTCACACCATTATTTCCCCATTAAAGGTCTAATTCACATTTTTATTTTCTTTCATATGAATTATCCACAGAACTTATGTAAGAGCTACCTCATTTAAATAAAGATTTTTCCCTCCAGTCATTATGCAGTAAATTAAAATATTCATTAAACTACATTTTATACAAAACCCCTGTAATTTTAGAGTAGCAATAAGCTAATTCAGATCAAGCTGCCCTGCTGCCTCGTGCATAACAATGTAACCGGTATATAAAAAGATAAGCTTTGCCTTGACATATTCTACTGAATTTAGGGGAAAATTTTCTAAACAAACTGTTACATTCCTAGGACAAAGAAGCTTAACACTTGCAGCATGATAACGGCTGAAGCATGCCAACATGAGAGTAAAAGCTGTGTTAACATTCATGTTGTCTGAAACTTAACACAGTAAAACTTTTAGCAATCGGTGATAAAATGAAAACCAAAATAGACTGAAACAAGTGGAAAATTCATCAAGGTCTGATGATGCAATGTTTCCAGCCAATATAAGTATACTTTAACAACTTGTTCTTTACTGTAATCCAATTGTTAACATACTGAAACAATTTTGGGGCAGCTCATAAGATTGATCGTATTCATTAGTATTTTTTCTGACAGATACTCAGGACGTTACATTTACTTCTCAGCTGGAAACTATATGCAAGTCTGCCAGATATGGCAAACTGTGAGTGTTTGGGGAGGGGGAGGCTATAAAGCTGTTAAATTGCCTACGGTTCTGATACAGCACAGAACATCTGGTCTGGAGAGCTTGAGGAAACACCATTAAATAGGCAGAAAAGAAAAAAATCTTTGTGCTAAGAAACAGTCCAGGTTTTGTATGCTTCTGTCAGAGGTATAAAAAACCCTTGGCAATTCGTGCGATGATTGGTCAGTCACGTACAGAGCCAGACACGCCAGCAAGCGGGGTTTGTTAGACATCTGGTCGGGTTCCACCAGCCCCTTCCACGAGGGAGGGGAGATGAAGGAATAAAAATGAAGCAGCTACTCCAGCATTCCAAAACGTACACATCAGGGCTCTGATAGCAAGAAAAATAAACAGAAAGAAGGAAACCCTGTCTAGACTTAGCTGCTGCTGAGGCTGCCGTAGACACAGGGTTGGTATTTACTCGAAAAGGCCTGCCAGGCTACTCTTACAGGCAAAAGACAGAATACAAAAATAGTAGTAATAATATTAAGAGGGGAAAAGAATAATAAAGGAAACCTCATACTAACCGTAAATGAGAACTACAGACTCCTCAATTGCGTGCTGGTAACTGAACTGGGAGTCCAGGAGGGCACGAGTGACAAAAGAGCCATAGTACGTGGACTGGTACCAGCCAACGTGAAGATGATCAATGTTTACGTGGCGCAGGCTTCGCATCATTTCCATCTGGTACTGAACTAGATTAAATAAAAAGTATGTTTAAAAAGCAAACTTACACAATCTGTACTATTTCGAGAGAGAGCTTGGTATTAAATGAGTAAATTGTATTTTACTTTATGTTCGTTTTTGCAACTGCACAGAAGTTTGTTTCTTCACTGCTGGACTGTCTTCATTAAAATCCAGAGAATGAGAGTAAGACTAGCCTGAGTAAGCAGACTTTTTCAGTTAATTACTAAAATGATCAACAAACTGTTATACATCATTTACAGTGTGTATTACCTTGCTCATTCATAAAAAAAAAATAATTCTGTTACTGGGTTTCATTAAGCAGTAACATTTTACCATTTAGTAACAAAAAAATATTGCGATTCAAGTTGTAATACTGTCCAGGATTAGATAACTTTTGGAATCAAAAGGATAATTATTTAATGAATATATGAAACAGAAGATAAACTATTTATGTCTTTTTCACAACGTACAACTACATTTTCAGTATTAGAGTTTGGGGGACCAGCTATAGCTGTCAGATAGTTTTGACTGCATTTATCTGCAATTTTTCAACACTGTTTCTTCTCTTCAGATGTATATAATGCATAAGTATGCAGGTATGTATAATATTATACATAATACACACACATATTTATATACATTACGTCACCTTAGACAGTAGAGAACATTTTTTGTCAGGCTCTTTACACCAACAGCTGTAATGTTTCATTGTACCAACACATAAATTCTGTTTCTACTAAATGCTTCATTCAAACAGATTACCTTGATGGAACAGAATTCTATTCAGGAATGTTTACCATAATCCCATCGAGCAGATCAACACACCTTATCACTTATCAGACTTTTTAAACAGACAGACACTGTGCCTGCTGATTAAATTTAAGGAAACAGATTTCAGTGTGATTATCAGATGAACCAACACTCACAGCCAACTGACAGGAAATCAAATGCAACAATTCTACACAACCCTTAAGGTTTTTTTGCAGCTGAAAAATTTTAAAAGATGAAAAATAACCCTCTCCTATGCATTCATTCTTGTTTGTTTTTTTTCAAGGCTTCTCTTTGCGCACGTGAAAATATGATATTCATTATAAAAGAAAGCAACATAAATTAATTAGAGGACAGAACGTGCTACGTTTTCAGACCCACTTCATATGCTTTCAAGAGGAAAAAAAAAAGTAACTATATTCTTTAAAGATACGAGAAGACATTTTTCAAGATTGGACAAATATTTTTCCAACTTATCACCCTTACAGCACAAACTACATTCTGCAGTCTGCTGACTCTTTTCATTAAATTGCCATATCTTACTGACTGTATTTTTAAAGTAATCTACTTTAACCTACAAGGGTTTATATAAACCCTTGCAGACTTTTTCCATCCGCATGTGTTGGTGCTTGCATTCTATTTTGTAATATCTTGATAGAAATGACTTGCCACTTGTGTTTCACCCAGGACACCAGGATAATACAGCACCCCAAAATTAACACAGCAAAACCCACCCAGGCTAGACTCTGACCCCCCGCAGCACAGGCGAAGACAGGGCCGGCACCACGTGGCTGTCTCTAAACCAAGGCAAACCTAAAGATGCCACTACGCTCTTCAGGACAGCCAGCCAGTAGAACTGATCAGAGAGCTACTTGGACTTCAGTATGAAAACCTTCCCCCTTACCAGATCGAAATAAATTTTAACCCTGCTTTCATTGCACAACTTCCAGAAATAGTGGCCACTGTCAAGCACACCCCTTCCACAGCAGCCCCCACGCTGTAGCAGGTAGCATCTCCACGTTCTCACAAAAGCAAACCTAAGATCTATCTTGTCAAAGCAGCTCAGTCCTTAAACTTACAAGATTTTGTTGGGGGGAACATGTTAAGTTTCTAAATTTTACAACACAGACTTCCCCTGGAACAAACTAAAAGATTCCTGCCGTGACCACGACTTTGAATTGAAAAAGCATGATCCATTTATTAAATGTAGCTAGAATAAACTATTTTGCTTAAAAGAAGATCTTCAAAGATATATCTGTGTGGAAAGCAAGACTTGCTTTTGACATGACATGCTACAACATGCTAAAACATGAAATTACGGTTAGATCCTTTCTAGCCAAATGAAGCAATGAAAAAGAAAAACTAGACAGGGATTTTCAAAAGCAGCTGAAAGAGATAAAACGTTTTGAGAATGAAGTTAAATGTGGATTTTTAAATAGCTGAGCTAGACTGCTCCTTGCAGTGGCAACTCTCTTGTAATTGAGGACACTGTCAAAGTAGAGGTGGTCATGTAATGACTGGGAAAAGATACTTATATATAGATTCCTACGAAATCATATTGTTGACCCATTCAGATAATGTCCCCCGTAAGAGGTGTAATGATAAAGAGAGGGAATACCCTAAGAAAACATCCAGACCTTTTACAAACTTGAATAGAGGTTTATCATGCTCTTAAAAGTGTTCATCTGAGACGTTAACTGGTAACCAAGTTCCAGGACAACTTATTTTCTTAAACACAGTATAACCAACAATATGTAACTGAACATGAGTGTAAGCGATATCGTCTAGAGGCAAAAGGACTTGCTGAAAACCATCCAGATTTCAAGTCAGCAATTCCTCCTCTCACGACTGTTAGCAGTTAGATGATAATGAAGGCAATAGCGGAAAAAATCTCAAAGAACCAATAAAGCATCAATAGCTAACATCTCTGCCTTGGGAAAACAACTGCAGAAATTAAAACATGATGCAGTCCCCACCAGGGAGAAATGGAAACTCTTTTAACCAAACATATATATTTTATAACATGTATTAGTAGCTAGATAGCTCCAACAAGCTGCCAACTTGCACAAATGGATAACAGCCCCCAAGTTGCTTTTGTTGATATCGTTACCACTGTTTCTTTACATCTTTTGCCCAACTTATAGAACATCATCTTTTTACCTGGAAGTTTAGCACAGGCTAGGCAAGAGCTCTCTCTCCTTCTACCCGGTCCTCAATCTGCTAGGACTCGGGGCAGTCATACACATCTTCTAACGAGGAGTTCACTGTATCAAGTCACAGTCCTTCCCAAGCCGTGCCGCAAAGGTGCCACTAAAAAGCACCACTAAGTCTGTGAGTTCCTAGAACTGAGGTGAGCAAGGAAAAGGGCAAGGGAACAGGCAGAGCAGGATGCTTCTCCCCTCTCCCTGACATTTAAACAGTGTACCTATATTTTTAAGCAAATTACTTGTTCAAGAGTGTCCTTATGATGAGGAAAGCCAGCAGTCATGCTTACACTTCTCAGTGTGCTTCTTGCATCGGGAATGCACAGCCTCAGTCTCCTGAGCCATCACGCATCTCCTCAGCACCTCACTGGGGTGGATTTTTTTTTTTTTTTTTTTTTTTAACAACAGAAGATTCTCTCTTTTGCTATTATTTAAATAAACCTCTTTCCTCTAAAAGGGCAATTTTTTAGCTAGTTTGCAAATAAATGAGGTGGGGGAATTAATGCTGCTAGAAAGTGTTACTATAACTTATCTAAATGAGAAAAAGTGCAAAACTCTACAGTATGGGTGTTTTCCTTGAATATGACTGACTCACATGAATTTGTACTAACAAAATCCCTTGACTGAAAACAGTATACCCTATTACAGTACTTTGGTGGGTATTTTTTCCCCCTGAATTATAAGATGTTTTAACAAACTTCTTGTAAAACATTAAATACTAAAATAACGTAAATACTTTTTCCTTTTCTAAAAAGTACTGGCAACATTAGAAACTTTATCTCAGCTTTAACATATACGAGGTATATACCCTACCTTACCAAAAAGAAAATAACATACCTAAAATTATATAATAAATCAGAGACAGAGACAAGGCCAAGAACTGAACACTAAAGTGATGACTGTTCAACACTGGGACAACTCAGCCACGTTCCCTAAATACCTTAAAATATCCTCATTCAATAACTTCACTATTTGAAAACCTAATTTAAGAAAAGGTCAAGTCAACTGAGGCACTGAAAAAAAGGAAAAAAAGGTCCATGTGATGATTTTAAAATGCAAACAAATCTAAGACACCAGAGTTTACAAACAACTGACAAGTTCACATCCCTGTTGAAATACCAGCTTTTTTCTAAAACGCTTCCGAATCAAGTGTTCTTGTCACAACTTGATACATAATACAAGTTTATTTATCGCTAAAACTGTATTATTTTTATTTCTTTATAAACCACTTATTAAAATCCAGCTCTCAGGAAGTCACATATCAATGTACATGTTGCCAAAATGTAGTCCTTAAGTAGTTATCGTTACCATCAGATGAGATAAGTTTCAGCCCGGCCACATTCAGACTGCTGGTAAACATTATGACATGTGAAGCTGATGAAAGATGGGCTGGAGGCAATACATTTGATGGCACCTCAGATGCTCAAGGCCTTAATTTCCAAAACATATTTTAAATTGATACGCCTTAAGAAATCTGGTTTTAAGAGAAGCAACCAATACATCTGCTAAAAAGCCAAGCCCCACTGAAGTGGAAGAACTTCGTATCCAGTACCACATGCCGTAGACTGGTTTTACGTCGTTCCTCACCCAGCCAGCGGCAGCATCCACCAGCTGGACAAGGGCAGCACTACCGAAGGAGGTAACAACCAACTCTGTGCTACGAACCACTAACATCTGCATAGCCTTCAGTCTGGATTTCACAATTAAGTGTTTGTCTTGACTCCTGTTTCACAAATATGTCTTAAACTATGAACGCAAACAGCAGAAGTTACACATCTTCATGAGGGCAAGTCACTGATTTGAGGACAAGGCAGAACTTTACTGCTCCCTCACCCACAACTGCCTCCTCAAAAAGACACTCTGGAGTATCTGAGGATGAATGTTGTTTCATCGCAGAATCCTGGGCATCCAGAAGACAGATGAACTAAAACTTAGGGTTGTCACTAACTCAAATTTACTCAAGATTGGGCATACTTTCCACGGGACACAAAAGTCCATCAGAAGAAACCAGCCTCTGTGACAACACTTCCCTGGAT